CAGCTGGTCCCAGTGCTGGGTTCCCAGCAAACATATTCAGTTCCCCGGCAAAAGGCCAGTACAACATGATCGATACATTGAATTTCCCATCGCAAGCCCAGCATATACATAAATGATGGGACTGTCCTGGCCAATTAACGACATTGGTTACATACTATCGAGGTAGGGGAGGGGTAGGGGTTTTAGGGGTCCATTGGATCTGAAAGTTCTAGTACTTTTTTATTTCACAATATAACCCTCTGATCATACCAGATTTCAAGAAAACAATTTTATGAATGACACAATGATATCTTCCTAACCTCTCTGTTCTTCAACGATGTGACTGCTTAGTGGTTGGTATGTGGTATCTACATCTTATTGGGTAGCATTCCTTCGAAGTCGATTCTTCGTTATGAGGTACTTCTGAAATATAAAATGCATCATTTGTTTATTTAGTGGCCTATGAGTTGCATGAGTTTATAACTTGATAATATGGTCTGATGACGTGATAATATGGAGCTTTCCAATTCTCATAATTTTCTTGGCACAGGTATTTCTGTAGCTGCAATTTTATTGTTATTTAGTATAGAGATATATAGGTTCACATAACCTGGAATCACTTTTGATAGCAACAAACGAGTTAAAAATGATAGTTGCTTTTGGATAAGTATAGCTCACTCCAATTAATATGATCATTAGGTGTATGAAGTTACGAGATAGGTACCAAACACATGCATTCAATGATGAAATTCTAAACACTATGTAGGTAGATTGATACTTACACAATATTATTATAATTGAAGAATCTGTCTTCTATCATTATCGATTGAGAATACTACTGACATCATAAATAACCACCAGGGGAAGAGAGGACCACATTAATTCGACATAAACAAACCAGTACGCCATCACCACTCACGAGAGTCAGCCATCTTAGTCACATTTTATATTGATCAGCTGATTGTTGATGTAGACGTTCCCAGAACTACCACCAGGGGGACGAGTAGCGAACATGAAATTGGCCAGCAAAGGGCCAGATCTCGTAATTATTCAATTAGTTCCAGACATCTTACCATCACAAGGCCATCATCGTATTTTTAACTGATGGTTACCTGGCATAGGAAAATCATCGGCCCATTACCAATACCCCGGCATCGTCACTTTCCCAGACTAGCCTGCACTAGGCCGGACTTCTCCCGCTAGTTCAATGTTTGCTGGGAGGGGTCTTGGTAGCATTTAACAAAAGAATGTCATATGAAGTTGTAGATACCGAAAGCTGTGATACTGAATGTGTTATTGTGAAGTTAAGATATAAGAAGATTACCTACTATGTGTCTGTGGTATATTTTCAACCTAATTCTAAGCTAGACATGTACATAAACTATTTCAACCTGTTCGAAAGTATTTTAAATGATCAGAACTATCTAATAATTCTAGGAGATTTTAATTTGCCAACTTATATGAACTGTGATAATGAGAGGAATATTCTACTGCAGGAGTTTCTCAATTTTAATAATCTAACACAATATAATGATATAAAAATTTTTAGGGACATGTGCCTTGATCTACTCATATCCAACTATACCTTGAGGGATATAATTTCATATACCTCTGAAAGACTCTACCGAAGCCAAAGGTACAATAAAAAAGCAGTATTCATACGACTACAGAAAAGGTAACTGCCCTATTATATCAGTTAGTGAAAACTCACAATTGGTCAGATCTTCTCAAATGTGAGAATGTTGATAACTGCCTTGATTTGTTTCATAAAATAATATACTCTTTGTTAGATCAAACCATACCGAAGTATACAATAACAAAAACTGCACGTAGGTAAGCCTAAATATCCATCTTGGTACTCTCTTGACTTGATAGGTAAAATAGGGAAAAAGAATCATTTTCATAAATTAGTACAAAAAAGTAGAGCAGATACAGTGCGAAAAAACTTGTATAGTGGATGAAAGGACAGATAAAATTCTTCGTTGAAAATTTTCCTGAAAACGAAACTTGATACTGGATTCGCAACTTCTTCAGTATAGAGTGAGTAGAGTTTGGTGATATTCAAATCAGGTGCCAAATATTTACGATTTCTTGATTTGTGAAGGACATAGTGGCTTTCATATGCTGGAAATTCTTCTATAAAAGCCTTCAACTCAGCGATTTTATTTAGTGAAGTCTTATTTACTGATGGAGCTTTTCCTCTACGGTCACAGGGAGGGGTGGACTGTTGTCCTTTGAATTTGAGGACTCTATCAATCCTTCTAGCTGATACTCTCAATGTATTTTGGAAAAATTCCTTGCACACCTCAACTTCGACTCCCCTGGCATCTATCAAGCAATAGACACGCGTTTTATGTCTTGAGATTCTCAGTGTAAGTGCGTTGTTTATTACATACTTTCACGATAGTGAATAAATATGATGTTTGCATATTGTGGGTATCCAGATTGTAGAATTCGTTGAAAATTTTTAATTGTCTTTCCTGGGATACTATTGTATGGCATTTATTATCACAACGACAGGGGCCTGTTTTTGGTTGTTTTTGAGGTACAACATCCCATTTAACGTTAAGTGCTTGTTCTTTCTGATATTTAATTTCCATACTTGCTTTTTTTACACGTTTTTTCCTCTTGGCTTGCTAGTTTCACCTGGATCTTGCTCGGCATTCACTGGAAGCACTGTGTCAGAATCTGATTTACCGCTAGAAAAGTCGCTCATTCCAGAAGGAATGTATTCAGAACCAGAATCAGCGAATTCAGGAGGTTCTTCGCCACTCTCAAACAAACCTGAGAATATGAAAATATTCAATGAGCTGAAGATCATAGACATTCACCGTATACTTACGTTGCAGTTCCTGTTCAACGGATTAATCCATCGGGCTCAATCATTAATCAAATCAAACAACAAATAGATAGACATCCAACAGTTTGTAAACAGGAAATGCGAGTAATAATACACATAACCACAACACCACTTTTCAACATAACCAGTGCAAAAATGGACTAACCCGCTTATTTAGTCCATTCTTGCTCTTCAATATATCTGAAACTCTGAAATTTAATAACGGTTTAGGTACTGCCATCTACTGAATATAAATAAGAGAAGGTGCTTTAGACTGTTTTTACATTATACTTTATGATGTATGGTTGTCATTAATGTCATTATTGGAGAATTGACGAATTCTCCAGGTAAAGAAAGATTACCACACACAGTTTTCATCCATGGTTTAACCCACCATGTCCTTGGTTTCCTACTGCTTCTTCTTTGATATAGTAAAACAGCACTGAGACTGAGTGAACTGGTTACAACTACTGCTGCTGCAATCCTAGACCTAGACATGTTGGAATTGATTAATTTAATTATACCTGTATATTTCATATTTCATTGTATAATAATAAGATCAGGATTATCCCGTAAAGAAAATATCAGAAATAAATGCTTAACCTCAAATATCAATTTATTTCTTGAAGTTGATAATGCTGTTGTTATAGAACGTACCTATTTATTTCTTGAAAATGTGACATAAATATTATGATGTACGGCGACCTGCAATAAATTGAAAAAGTTGCGAGAAAATTGCATTGCCTCAAACTGGCCGAGAAATAGCATATTGTACAACGCCCTTATAACCCATAACCTCAAAGTAGTCAACCAATGGGAATTGGGCATGTGGGGAGGGGGAACGCTACTGCGCAGAAAATTGGTGGAAACAAGAAAAACACTCGGAATAGTTAGAAAATACCGAAAATGCTTTCAGTCTCCAAGTCTCCACTTATTACTTATAACCTCGAAGTGGTCACGGAGAAACGCTACAGCGCGAGAGCGAAAAATATTAATCATCGCGGTGGGGGAACGCTACAGCGCGAGACCACGGGTACTGATCATCCCAACGAATATCCTTAATTGGCGCAGAATCAAGTCTGCAGAGAATTTACGGCCGAGAGTCCTAGAAAAGTCATGTAGCTATTATATAAGCTTTTATATTGATATAAAATTTTCACATATCAGTTACGTCATAGTTACGTTACATTTTTATATAATTATGGGGTTCACATATTCTAGAACTGTTATGGAATATTCACGTGAATATTTTATATAAATACGAGGTTTACATATTTTAGAGTTATTATGGAATATTTACGTAAATATTTTATATAAAAAAGTTCCGTTGATGTTATATAATAGTAATGTAAATAAAACAGATATGTTTGCTGGGTTAATAGATGAGTCAACAGATGCCAGTACATCTGAAAGTTTGATGATTGTTGCAAGGTATTAAGATGGTGACAAAGTGAAAGATTCATTTTTCTCCCTCATCGAATTGGAATCATCAAGAGCTGAATGCATTACTAAGAAAATTGTAGAAATTCTGCAGTCAAATGATATTCCTTATGAAAATCTTGTAGGGTTAGGGGCAGACAATGCTGCTGTGATGATGGGACAAATAAGTGGGGTACGAGCTCGATTGAGAGAATTTGTGCCAGATTAATTGGTTCTTGGGTGTACCTGTCATTCATTTCATTTGTGCTCATCTGCAGCATGTCTTCAGCTACCTAGGGCGATTGAACAATCTGCTAGATACTAGAGACATCTTGAAGACGTCCAGTCAAATCTCAAAGAGGTCCATAAGACGTCTTCAAGACGTCCGTTGTTACAAAATCGGACGTCTTGAAGATGTCTTTATTACGTCCAGTCGAACATAATCTGGACGTCCTAAAGACGTTTCCAGAAAGTAAGAAGACGTCCCAAAGACGTCTTTAAGACGTCAACCCAAGGCATTCTGGACGTCTTCAAGACGTACAGTAAAATCTTGAAGACGTCCATAAGACGTCTTGATGACGTCTGTTGTTACAAAATTAGACGTCTCTAAGATGCCTTCATTATATCCAATCGAACATAAACTGGACGTTCTAAAAACGTTTTTTTAATGTTTGATATATATCTAGTATTGACCCTACCAGAACATGGTCTGGACATGATAAGGACTTTACAGTCGATTCATGTATGAAATAAAATACAGTCAATATTTACATATTTTTATTTTCTTTTGACAATTTTCGATCTCCTGCTCTTCTTAGCCATAATTGAATTGAAGTTTCCGTTTTTTTGCGGTCAATGAATGTATTTGTCTGTTCAGCTGCACCTAAAACATATGAAAAATAATCATACAGATATGTATAAACAATGTGAGGAAATAAACACAGATATTATGCCAAGAAACGAAAGGTGGAGAATAAGTAGAATAAGTAATATATAATATATGATGACTCAGGGTCCAGGGTAGGTAGGACGTTTCTGGAGAACGCGAAGGATTGTTCTATAAATTTCGCATCTCTCATTTTATCACTTGTTCTACGGATCTTAAATATTTTCGATATTGCGACGTTGCCGCTTGCATCAAAAGCCCTAGCAAATTCATTTTTTCAAATGGATCACCCCGTATATTATTGCAATTCTAGATTCTCCCTGAAAAGATAATTTCATCAATGTATCACACTTGGGGTCTAGGGAGAATGATTACAGAGATATAGGGTGTTCAAAATCGAGATTTTTCAGTAGATAATAAATCAAAAGTTAAGATAGGGACATGTAAGCCGCTTTGAACAACAATTAATAGTTTGGACACAAAAACATCCAAAATTTGAGAAATCTCAGATTTCAGCACGACATTCCACTGTTCAGAGACTCCAAATCGCTTCATCGTTAACTGAAAGGATATTCTTAAACAATTGGACACTTCTATACAGGTAAGTTCATTCAAATTCCTCTATATTTACCAACTTATTAATCTTTGTTTTCAGGTATCTTCAAGACTTCCTCTATAGACTGCAAGGATCCTATAGATGTCTCATATAATGAATGAAATATAGTAATATGATGGTGTATTTTCAAACGAATAAAGAGTATTATACAGAGTGAGCAATGTGAGCATATCATAGTGAAGATACCATTTCATTATCTTTATACTGTAGAAATCACTATCCATGGTATGGTATCTTTATATTGGTAGTTCTTCATTTATTTTTAGACTTCAAACTAGACATACCATGTGATATGAAAGAGGCTAATTTCCATGTCACACTCCATAAACGTCTAAACCTACCATCGACCATGAGTCACCCTGTACAAATATTTTCTGAAATTTCACATTTCCAATAAGTAAGTAGGTATTGAACCAGTGATTGTTCACTATTGGTAATTTTGTTATAATTGAAGATACATTTTTTAAATCAGGAAATTAGTAGTTTTTTAAGGTCTTTGAAATGGAAGAACACAAACAACCCATTGAACATGGCGTTTCAGAGTTCAGACTAAACATGTTTTCCTGCTAGAGACATAAATTTAAAAAATCGCCAATTTCAATAATTTTGTATCTTCAATAAGAGTTACCAATATACATATATGAACTCACATACCAATACTTCAAAACAGATTTTTTTCTATTTACATAGTAATACTTACACATTATCAGTCTTGCCATGTTAGTTTCGAAAAAAGGCTTCTTACATTTTCGTCCTAACCAACTGAACTTCAATGCTAAATCATTGGTGATCAAGGTATGTAGCACTCGTTTAATGAAATTATAATGATCACTTCCACCAGCTTTGGCTAATTCAGTCACCTGGAAAACAATCATCTATTATCCTCAAGAAATAGTCTGATTCGAAATACTACTGAATTTATTTCAAATATTCCATTTGAAAATACTATACACCTAGCAATATTTCAATGAATTCATTGTTAAGAGAATTACCCAATCATTAAAATTTTCCACATTAGTAAGGATTTCTTCGAACATTGAAAATTCTTCTTCATTATTCAATGGAAATTGAAAATTTGGGTACTTGTTGAATACTGAGGATGCTGGTGGGGCTCTCACTTGTCCCTTGATTTCTTCTTTCAAGTTTTTTATTTCTGATAGGATGTCCTGTGTAATTGACCTTAACAGATGGTTTTGTTGAATCAAGGTCTTAAAATTTTTATCTGAAAAAAACAGTAGGTATTGAATTTGAATTATAAATGGAAAATTGAGAATGATTTACCTTTCTCTATGCAAGCCTCACAGGAAGCTGCTGGTGGTTGTATTTCCAAAATACTGAAGTCAGCAGAATTTGAAGGAGAATCTGAAACTCAAATATCAACTTTTGATCCACATGATGAATCCAAGGAATCAAACAAAGCTTTGATATTTATGTATAACAAATAGTTATATCTCCACAGCATTATGAAATGTCGCCTATACAAGAAACCCATCGGCAATAATATAGAAGAAAAAGGAATTCACAAGAATTATAACAGAAATGAAAAATACCAGACAATTATTATAGGTCACTATGTGTTTGAATCAATGTAAAATACAAAATATGCTCACTTGGGCAAACATCTTCTTTTTCTGGCTGCGTCGTCAGTTTGCTTCTGAAACAGAAAATGTTCTGATCAGGTATTCACATAACTTATATTTCAAAAATTAAGCCTTGTTTACTATTGTATGAACTTATTCGAAAACCAACTCATTATTTGTTAAATCATGTTAAATTAGATATGGCTTTCAAATAATGAATACAAAATTGAAATCATGTTTCCATTAAGTGGCATTGAACTATTTTGAAAATATTAACATCACTCAACTTTAATTTTTTCAGGATGGGAGGTGTAGGTAAACTCTTTTTTATATTATTATTTTCCATAGAGTCTTCTTCACTGCTGGACGAAGAAAATACTTTTTTTAGTTTTCTTTTTCTTTTTGTAGATTCCATTTCAGCCTCAGATGCGAGGTCACTTGTTTCTTCGGCCACTTTGGCCTTATTTCTGGCTCTCATGTAATCATCTAAAACACATCTAATAAGTGAACTTTCACTTTGTTGGTGTGAGGATGAGTGTGTCTGAGGGTATTGTTTGTGTGTGCATCTGTGCACACCAACTGGCGTGTATATGTGTTCTGTGAAAGCACTAACTCCATAAATCATAACTGACTTAATAAATCATAACCAGATTTAAGTATATAAAATCAACTCACTGAAAGTTGCATTTCGAAACACTTTTACTCGGTGGGATGTCCAACATGTGTTGAGGGGCTCAGATTTTCTTATTGCATTAATGACCTTATCAGGTGTATATGCAGGCCAGTGGCATTGATCACCTTGAATCCAAGCAGTTGGCACAGCCTCTACTGTGTGGTCTTCCATAAACTGTACCACACTCCAACTATGGTCTTCATCCATTCTCAAAGTCATGAAAAGGGAAAAAATGAGTTGAACTATTCAACTAAATTAAAATTATCCACAAGACAAGAGCACTTTCTCATAGATGAATATAACTTCCATAAACAGGATGATTCTTTAATCACTTTATATGTATAGACTCATTGAATATATGGAAAGTACAGACAAACAAGATTTATTTGGCTACTTCCTCTGATGACAATTCAGAATCAATTACATTTTGATTGAAACAGATAGAGAAAAAAAATGATGTGCCATGAGTTTCATGAAGCTGATATTTGATTATAAGACCTTTAGACCTTTATTCGCAGGATCCCAGATAGCACAAATATTCTAAGGAATATTCATAGAATGTTCTTAGAATGTAGTAAATATTTATGGAATGTTCCATGCGAATATTCTAATAATATTATTTAAGTACATTCCTAGAAGCCCCTGAGATATAATATTCCAGAATGTTTCATGCAGTTGAAAAGGCGTCAGGTTTGTAGTTATATAATCACGAGAGAGAAGGTTCAAAACCCCACCGGAGCAAGCTTTTTTCAATTTCCTTCCTATAATATACCTAGCAGGAATATTCTCAGAATATCTAGAGCATAGAACATAGCACGTCCCTAGAAGATTCGTATAATATTCTGAGAATATTCAACTGATGAGCTATGAATATTTTTATAATGAACTCGGATCATCTCAAGAATATTCCGAGAATGTTCAGAGAATGTGAAATTCAGTCCACTTTGGATGTCCATACAATGTTTATAGAATATTTAAAGTGTATTGAGAAAATATGCTAAGAACATTTCAATGTTCCATCATGTGCATCTATGAATATTCTATGCATGTACTTGTGCTAGCTGGGATAAGTATCAAGTACTTATATTGGTAATAAAATAAAAAAATATATATAATTTGAAAAATCCAGCATAAGAAAAATGTACCCCTCTGTGCATTAGATATTTCACTGCATGTATAGAAGCATCAACACTTTTACTGCCTTGGCAATAAGATAAAATACTGAGGAAAATATGTGTTCAACTAAGCGGAAAAGTAAGTTGTAATGACTCAAAGTGCACCTTTGTATCATATTTCAGCTCGAATTCCAGCTGCAGGATTTATTCTTCAACTCTACTGCTCAGTTGAATCATGTTGAATAAATAAAATATTTTTCTGAAACATCCGCTCTCGACTAATATTTAAAACTTTTTGAATTTTTTCATCTTTTAATTTTTTTTTATATTTTTCAATTTTTTTTTTTTTTGTCTTTTTTGTTTTTTATTTTTTGTTTGTTTTTTGTATATACCATTTTCAGCGTTGGAAACATACTCACCAACTTGTGGTGGGTAGGAAGAAAGATCAATAAATTAAATTAAAATCTGGAATTAGTTATCACATAAACTTGAAATATCAGTGTGAAGTAGTGGAAAAATAACGAAATCATTTTTATATATTAGTTTGACACATTTGAATGAAATTTGTCTCAAGTCAAAAATTTCCAACGGCCCAAGATCTGGTTTTGCTAAAAATATACCTAACTCAGACGATTTGCAAGGAGTTTCATAGAAATCAGTTAAAGACAAGAATCTATTACCAATTATTTTACGCTCCCGTCCGATAACCACTATATTTTGAATCAGGATGACAAATCCACAATCAAGAAAACAGCAGTTGTCAGGTTCATTTATTCTCAAAGTGAAATGTTCGAAGATTATTTTTTTGAATTGCTTTGAAATGTTCATCTTTAATGTTGGACCCTCAAAGTGTTCATCTTTATGTGTACAAATAGGAAACTTTTTCATTATACTAGAATTTGTGGATTGATGATTTCTTTCACTTTGTCGTTTGATTATTTGTTGTAGAGGTTTTTCGCTTTTCCTAATTGACTTGAGAATTGATTGAAGAAAATTTTCAAACTTGAAAGCACTAAAATCGTCAAGGGGGCCGTGGTTTGTGACATCTGTTGTAATATGCAATAGGTTATGAACATTATGTGAAATATTTTCAGTACCATAAAGAATATTAAAAGTTTCTACGAAATATTCAAAAAGAGATGAAGCATAATCGATCTTATCAAAGTGTTTTGAATTTGCTAAAATTGTTGCAGCAACATGTAGCACTAAAAAATTTTGATATCTATCACCAGCCAAAATCCCCCTCAAAACTAAAGGTCCTGTATAGAATAGGAATTGGCGGAACTCTGTTGCTTTCCATCTTCTGACTTCATTTAGTGATCGAGGTTTCCTATTGAATTCTAATGGAATATGTTTTTTCAATTTTTCTAGATTATTTGATATTACTGTTATTGATGAGAAAGATATTTTGGTAGATGGCTTGCCACAACACCACAAAGTGACAAGTAGTTTTTTCACTACACCCAAACATATTAGATGCATGTAGTCTAATGGAAACCCGTCAATCATATTGAAGTTAGGTATTTCTTCAATCATTGGTGTTCCATTATGATGATCTTCTTGTAATTTTGATCTAAATTCAGCATCAGATCTTAATGAAAGGTTTTTGACTTCAGGAAAACATATTCTGTTATTTATGTATTGACCATCTATCTTGCATTTGGTACAAGAAGCATAACCAGAGTGTCCTTTGGTATAGGTAATGAAGGATTTTGCAGGTGCATCACAAATGAAAGCATTTATCTTAATTTTATAAAAATTACTATTCAAAAATAATCCATTATTAACAAGTTCAATTGTTTCTTGAATAAAGTCATATAAAAATATATTCGCATCTTTAGGCTTTTCGTAACCATGAAAAATTCCAACCATTTCAACAAATACACTTTTATTAATGCTACAGAGAATAGGATAAACTTGACTGCTCGAGCTCTTTGATAATGGCAAACCATCTACATTTATATCAATTTTAATAACTTTTTCATTAAAACCTGGCATTTGGGCAATGATTCTTTCAATGCATTTTCGCAATCCAAAGTGATAGTAATATCCAGGCTCTACTGATTTCACTTCAACTAATTTAGATGTACCTAACAATGTTCTTGCATCAGATGGTAGCTCAGGATGTTTTGTTTTCAATATATCCAATAAATCATTCAATGCAGAGTGAGTAACATTATGTTTCAATGCCCAATTTGATAATGAAAGAGTTGATATTTCCTTTTTACTAGAATGATGATTATCATCTGAGAATAAAATAGAATCATCATCTATAGCCGAATCAAAACCATCACCATTTTGTATTTCATGTCCTTGCATAGATGAATTATTGAAAATATTGTCATTGTCATGTCCTTGAACAGATGAATTATTGGAAATATTGAACAAACTATTATCCTGATGACTGTCTGCACCTGTCATCACATCATCATTATTGGAAACAATATCATTTTGGCTGCTTACAATACTCATTACATCATTATTGAGATTGAGATTTACTGAGGGTGCAATGTGTTTATTTCCACTACTTCCTACCGTCATTACGCTGGTTGAACAACCGACATTCACGTATGGACTGAATTTGTTTTGCCTTTTGGCACGCATATAATATTTTTGTAAATGAGCCATATTATATATATATGGAATCTACTCACCTGATGTATTTCTTCACTGAATAATCTCACTTTGATAGGAGATGATACCGGTAGAGAGAATTCTTTGCCAATATTTTAAGATTTAAGAAGCAAGAAAAAAATAATGCTCTTGTATTTTGTATGTATATACTTGGTGTTTGCAGTTTTGGAATGTGTCGACGTGACACGTGACAAGTGTAGACGTGAAGCACGGAACGGAACAACACGGCACGGAACACAACACAGAACTGGGGCGCGGAGTCAAATGTCAAGCATCTGCGAACCGTGATCGCGAATTCAAAAGATAGAGAGTGATTTATGTATTTTACATAAGTTGATTGCGAATCTAATGTCGAGAACAAAACAATAATCGTCATTTGTTAAATTTGACTAGCAAGAACCTATTCTGACCGCAAGAATATATTCTGACCTCGATTGAAGCATCTAGAGACAGAACGGAAAGAGACAGGGCACAACAAATAATTCGTGCGAGAACGAGTTTTCAGAATATTTCCGGCCGAGAGCATCGATAACGGCCGAACCTGAAAAAATAACATCATTGAAATAGCGAATCACTATCGGCTCCGACAGTAAACACCTTCACAGTAGTTTTTTCGATTAATCACTTTGAAAAAAAAAGGAGTCATCTCGCCCACCCCAAGGATCATTTGTCGACAGATTTGTTGCATAACAAAATCATTGCACCATGCTTCATTCCGGGTCAGAATATATTCTTGCAATCTTACCTGAAATGTGGCCATAGGTGCGGCCTCTAGAGACAGGACGCGAAGAGACCGGCCGCAACAAATAATCCGTGCAGAAAGAATTTCACAGAAATGAATGCCTGCACAGCAATTTTTTCGATAAATCATTTCACAAAATAAAAGGAAGCCATCCCCACCACAATGATTATTTGTTGAGATATTTTTTATATGAGAAAACTATTAGAAGTTCTTGCATTTGACCTGACAACCTCGATATAATTACTATTCGATAATATAATATATAATCATGGTAAAAACAGAAAAATGAATGAATTAATGATAAAATTTCATTGTTCTCAGATATACAGGTATTAATTCGACTATAAAACTGCCTAATATATTATTTGATCAATAGAAAAAATATAAGAGATTGCCCCCTCTTCAGTTTTTTTGTTCAGACTTTCAACAATGCGAAGAATCGAAAATTCAATATTCTCGAAGAATAAATCAGTAAGAACTATCTATATAAATTATTTATTCAGAAAGAAACTGGAATAGCTAATTTAAAATCACCAATCAAAAATGCTGCCCACCTTTTGAGGTATATATACGTCCTTCAGCAGACATCTCTGGGACATACTGGAACAGACGTCTGAAAGATGTCCATTCTATGCCTGTGGAACTTCTTTGGCAAAGGTTAGAACCAAATAATTCCACCAAAATAATCAACAATAATCATTCATTCTGAATCCAAATCGAATATACTGCCCCTTTCACAAAAAATTCGATTCTACAGATCGAATATTTCTGGACTTCAATAAGACATCTTTAGGACATCCATTTCTGGACGTCTCTGAGATGTCCTACAGCAGACGTATTAAAAACATCAATTACAAGACATATCTGGGACGTACTGAAACAGACGTCTAAAAGACGTCCATTCTATGCCTGTGAAACTTAATTGGCGAAGATTAGAACCACATAATTCCACACAAAAAATCAGCAATAATAATTCGTTCTGAATCAAAATTGAATATTCTGCTTCTTTCACAAAAACTTCGATTCTACTGATAAAATATTTCTGGACTTCAATAACACATCTTTAGGACATCCATTTCTTGACGTCTGTGAGACGTCCTAAGATAGACGTCTTCAAGACGTCTATTTTATGCCTGTGGACGTTCAGGCATTATATGGACATAAAATGGACGTCTTTCAGACGTCCGGTGCCGTGTGGGTTATTATTTCAGCAACAGCTCCAAGAGATATCTAGAATTAGAAGAATTTCAAACCTTCTTATCTTCTATTTTTTTCAGAATGCTGTACTGGTTGACAGATTACAGTCTGTTGAAAATACATTGGCATCTCTGATGAATCCAATATATGAGTTATATTTTTTATTTTTGAAATTCATTTTAGATCTGGTGAATAAACTGAACTTATTCTTCCAATTTCCAATGTGCCAAACCTAAAATAACTTATTTAAATGAAGATGTATGTAATTTATATAAAGTAATTTTGAGATTTTTTCGCAAAAAAACTGTAATGAACAGTGTCCCTCTAAGGGAAATTGATATGTATTTTGGGGGTGAAGTTGAAAGTTTCGTTTTATAAAATAGTGATAATCTTAGGGCAGATGATGTGAAAAGTTTTAGGCATAAATGTTCATCATTTTACATAGAGTTATGCTGCCAAATTGAAAAAAGATTTTCACTTGATGATGAACTTTTGATAGGATTGAATAAACTGAACCCTGAAAAAGCAAAGTCGATACCATCGTTGGTTAAGATTCTTAATAATTTTCCCACACTGAAAAGTGATGTCAATTTAAAAGAAATGAATCTAGAATGGCGAATGATTCCAGAGTTGGAAGAATAATGAAAAAAATTGATGACTTGGAAGAATTCTGGATATATGTAATTCCTAAAAAATGTGCAATAACAAATCAACCACTATTTCCCAATTTGAAAAAGTTGGTAGGTTTTGTGTTGGCGTTACCGCACTTCTCAGCAACAGCAGAGCGTATTTTTTCACAATTATTCCTAATAAAAACGAAAACCCGAAACAGATTGCTGGTTGAAACGTGTAATAATTCAAAGGAAAAAACACGAACACTAAGTCGGTCGGTGTTTTTTCCTTTGAAAAAATCTGGACCACTTTGAGAAGGATGGATGGTTTCCATGACTTATCGTCGTTGATTGATATATTACGCTTATTATCGTGTAATAATTTACTATTTCCCGCCACATTCAAATTGATAAAATAAGCTCAAGAAAATTGTTTTGAATTGCTTCATATATTAGTTTTGATAAAACCACACATAAATATAAATCTGTATTCTTTTTGGTTCTTCATACGAAAAATAATCACAGTTCGAACTTTGAACTAGGCACATATGTACTTACATAGCCAAATGAATGAGATCACAAAAAATGTTTCAAAACATAAATAAAATCTGATTGTTTCAACTCAAAAATAGGTACAGGATGATTGTTTATATTTTACTCAATAGCTATCTCAGTTAATTAATATTGAACATACAAAAACGTTCAAATGGGCCAATTTGAAGCATTTTTATGGTGTTCTAGAATTCAGGAGGTACTAGAGAAAATGCATAAAAGCATCATAAACCTAAAATTTTCACATCAACTGGCATTTTTTTAAAGGAACACCTTGTATTTTATTTTCCTAATTGATACAACTCTTTCTTCTGATTTCAAATATATAAATACTTTGTTGAGTTTGATTTTGTCATTTTTCGAAAAATATAGATTTTCTTGTATGATATGAAATGTAAAATGTAAAATGTAAAATGTAAAATATAAACAATCACCGTGTACATGATAAATATATGGGTACATACATAAGCCAATAAGTGGTGATGTCACAACAAAATTGAAATTAGGTACATTCACTGCACTGGTACCTAATATTCCCCCTTGCATATTTCCAACTTTATTGTTTCCAAATTTTTGCTACTAGCATATCATTATCTGGTTGAAATCTAACACAACCTCCACTCTCATTCACACCTTGTTTGGTCATTAATATTGCTTCAATAGTATCAGGGTGTACTTGATTCCTATGATCAGAATTTACATTTTTCAATCGACTAAATACTCGCTCCACTGATGCATTTGAAAATGGTAAAATGAATAGAACTGACATGATAATTCACAAATTTTTGAATAAGGGATTATCAGCTGCATTTTTTGAATTGAAAATTTTCGACCAATATTTCTCAGGATTATTCAAATCTGTGCTCAAATCTAAATCATTAAAATCTAACAAAGCATGATCCCTCTACTCTTCATCTAGCTCTTGTGGGTTTACAAAATCTTTCAAGATAGGAAACCTTTTGAGAACTTTTACTAAAGTTCCCAACTGATATGATCTTGCCTCTTTTGGATCTACTATTTTTATTATTTCAAATATTGAATCCGTGAAATCGAATCTTTTTTAATATCACATACTAATTCAATATAAAATTGCAGCATGTTTTCATAAATATATCTAACTCCTGTTTCTAAACATTTTCATCTTTTTTCAATGCAGCTGAAGTTTCTGATGCTTCTATACCCAGATATATGTTTTCAAGAGGTGTAAAATTCCTTGGATTACAAGGATTCAGAGAAAAAATATCATCAGACCTCACATATTTCATATCTAAATAATTAGAACACAAAATTTTCAGTAGCCTCCCTACGTCTTTTCAATACATACAACAAAGGAGATTCAATTTGTTATTCATAGTTTCCAGCATTTGTTCAGTTGTTCGAGAGGGGTCATCATAAACTAATTGTCTCAAATATTCAAACAAAGGTTGGTGTTGTTCTAAGACTTTATCAACACACTGTTTAAGAGATAGCCATCTAGTGATTGATGGTGATAATATTTGATGAAGTTCTGTTTTAAAGAATATTTGAAACCCTCGGAAAGCATCTTGTCTATAAGAACTTCTCGAAAAATGTGAACCAATGTTCCTCAACAAATCTTCAATAGATCTTGACAGCTGTAAACAGGCCTTACATGCTGACAAGTAAATCATGTGGCAACTACACTTCACACACACAATATTTGGGTTATCCCTCTTCAATAAGGCAAACACTGACTGATGTTCTCCCACCATCACATTTGTTGTGTCTGAAGAAAATCCTATCAAGTTGCAGGTAGGGATATTTTTATCATTCATTACATGTGTGTTTTCTACAATATCAAAAAATTTTGTGAAGGTTTTCTTCTCCTCTTTATTATAATAAATAACAGTGAAAGCACACTGTTATTTGACACTTATGTCTGTTGTTTCATCCATAATAATTGAAAACGAACATCCAGGTTGTTTTAAGGTTTCATAAAGTCTTTTACCAAATATACTACCTAAATTTTCTGTAATAATTTTTGTTGTTTTGGTTCTGTTGCCATTTTTTTGGCAATATCTGAATCAGTAAAAACTAATGAACATTGTGGTGCCAACTG